TAAAACTGATAGGAATTCTTCCAATCAGAGTATCACCATAGAGGTAACTCAGGTATCACCAGCTCCATTGTCGCTTCGTCCAGCTCTTGATCTAATCCGGTCACTACCAAAAACTTAAGATCGTGCGAAATGCCTAGTGAAATAACTACCATCTTCTGCGCCTTTATTGTCTCCGCCAACCATTTCCGCTTCGTCAGTCAAACACAGACATGGTGACAAAAGCTGTCAAATACAATGGATTTTGATATTGTTGAAATAAACATGCCTTTGAATTTAATTCAAACATAAATATTTTCGTTTTAAATATGTTTTCAATTTACTTTGAATAATTAATATGTTTAGAGTATAAACATTTATATTTTTGATATAAATGAACAAAATTCGTATCCGTGTCAGAAAAATCCCACCGACCTCGGGTGGGATTGAACCCAGACCCATTGGGGGTGAGAAAGCAGTCACGCTTACCACTACATCACCGGCGCCGATATATCAACAATACAGGAAAAATTGTGTTTTGCTGTGGTAGCTGCGCGCACGCTGAGTAGATAGACAGAAGATTGATGACGATTCTGAAGATTTCGTGTCAAAAGATGATGCACGATGCAAGTAGATGCGAAGAGATTTTTCGAAAATTGATTTGCTAATGTGAGATTTGTCGAGCATGTAGAATTGAGATTTAGATGTGTCGCCCTCTCGTTAAAAACAATATTTTTGTTTGAAATTTTTAATGAAACGTGTTGTTTTAACAATATTGTTCTTTCTACCATGGCGTGCTTTAAAATAAAAAAGTATGTAGTGTAATATGGGGTAAGATGCATACCCGGGGCAAAATGACTTTTTGGCGTTTAAAATACCTTTTTTTTCATTTTTTTTCTTCGAGGATATGTTAAGGAACATTACTAGTTCAATGATTATTATTATTATTTATCTTTATTAGGGAGGCTTTCAGCCTGGGGCTGGTTCGCCTCCAAACAGTTCAATGACTGAACTAGCAATGCTGCATGATAAATCTACCAAAACATGTTAAAAATGTATTCAAAAGTTGCAAAAAGTAATCTTACCCCGGGGGTGCCCCATCTTACTCCACTTGTTGTTTATGTATGTAAGGTAGCCACCATCCCTTCAAAGATCTTGTCTTGTATGCAGCTCCACTTAATAGCAAGATCAATTTGAGCTACTGATCTGAATTCACAATATCGCTGTATGAAGGGCCCAAAACGGAGGGGCGGACCCGTAAGTAGAGACACTTACGCAAAATCCACGGAAATTTAAGAATCTCCTTCCAACGATACGATCCAACAAATCGAATAACGCAATTCGCAATACTTATTAAGCTTCCTACAGGATGGTTTGTTAAGAAGGGCGCGTCAATCTCACTGAAACTGTTGAAGTAGAATTCACACCAGCACAATCGAATCGGTAGGATAAAAAAATGATAGTGTTTATTCCCTCCAAAACTCCGGTTGTCATTCCACTCCATCGTCCAGTTTCAGGTCAAATGATACCCTGATGTTCCCTCCCAACCCAGTATTTATTTATATGAAGTAAATATATGTAATGGAGGAATGAAATATATCCGAACATTACAATATGAAATAATGAAAATACATTTATGTGGATAAAATAGCTGATATTCTGCAATGCAATTAATACATATTTTACATATAATAAGATGCAGCTTTATGTCTCCTCAGCTCACAGCATCAGGTGGATGTAACACTGAAATCTCAAGGTTATATTAAGCAAATACACATTTTTAGCTCGAATCATTCTTGATACTCTCCTTAAAATAATGAAAAAAGGGTAATGTTTAACTAACAAAACGAAAAATAAAAAACGAATCTCATCTAAATGGTGTCATGCATGACGAGAAATAACCTGTAAAATAAATATTTTGCATATAATGTTATGCATTGTTGTCGCTTCCTCTGCTTCATCAACTTAATTTTAATTTCGATGAGTTATGCGATACAAAATAAATTTATAAATATTGAAATAAACATGAATAATTGATATCGATAAGTCCAATGCTTCAGATATATTTGGGATTTTTTTCTGAATGGATGGATTATTCTTTTTAAATGTAAAAGTAAAAAAAAATGTAATATGTATAAAATATAAAGTGAAATACAATGTATGATAATAAAAAAGTATGACAATTTATTTGTGTTTGTTGTATTTGTGATTCATCTTCCCTTAACTCATTATATTTTAATGGTACTTATACATAAAAATAATACATGTGCCATAGATTGATACTGTGCCCAATGCGGCGTATGAATATTTGAAGTAATGATTGGAAAAAAAGAAAAAATCTAGGTTATCTATGATTGTAAATATTGAACACTCTACAAAAGTATAGTGATATGTTTAGTTAATCTGTAATGCAATTGTTTTATTAAAGAATAATTGAAATTTTCTCTAATGATGTAATGCGTTTTTTTATCAGCTGTTGGTTAATATGCAAGCAACTATTTAATTAGTAAATTCTGTGCTAATATAAATTCAAGTAATGTATAAGATATTAAATTATAATATAACGGCGCCGGTGTTGTAGCGGTAAGCGTGATTACCTTTCACCCCAGCAGGCCTGGGTTCAATCCCAGTCGGCACCGCCGGGATGTTCTGAGGTATAACATCTCTGATCACGCCTTCCTTCGGATGGGAAGTAAAGCCGTTGGTCCCCGGTTCATGAGTTGATGGGTCGATAGGTAGGGTCCAGGTGTGGGAGCTGCCTTCCTGGCACGTCGGTAGCATTGGTGCTCAGCACGGAAAACAAGATCGACGGAAAAAACAATCCAAAGGAAAAAAAAATTAAATTATAATAATATGTATTCTTGAATTAATTGGACTATCAGACAGGCTGTATGCTACAAAAGAATTTAATAAGAGTGTTATACTATTTATATTTAAACGTTGCATGAATATTATTCGATTGATGCCCATGAAAATCATATTACAATTTGATCTTTTAAATATTGATGATCTTAAAAAAATTAATAAAATTCTGTTTGAAAACATAATAATATGAAGTATAAAATAGAATTAATTTATGTTATACTACATGCAGTAAAATATCATTCCTTGAAAATACATTACACGAAGACTGTATATTTACTTCCAAGATCCCGGTGGATAAAAAATAATATAATGATATAAAATGTATAATATAAAGGAAGAAAATAATATCACAAAATAGTGAACTCTAATAATATAAAAAAAAATATTAGATTATAAAATAATATTATAGGATGTAATGAAAAAACATATTTGAAAAAGCATTCCTTGTATCCATTGCGTACTGACGGGAAATAACTACAAATAATTAGAAGTAAATTTGATGATATGTTCAGCGTCAGGCCTCCAACGATAAGCATGAATATAATCCCATTCCAGACACGTCAGTAATGATCTGAGAAATATTGACCGCTTCTTCTAAAACAAGTACTGTAATAAAACAATGAAAAAATTGCAACAATTGAGCCAAAAAAATAAACTAATGTAAAAAAAAATAATGGTATCACTAATGAGAATAAATTACCTGAAATGTACAAGCATGTCTAAAACAAATGTAATAAATGATAAAAACTACTTTATATGAACATACATTGGTGGCCCTTAAATCAGCACAACAGGTCGACTCTCATACAAACCAAAATACGGAAATTGGCCCATTTTGCAAATCCAATAGTAACACAATACATCAAATGTGACAAACAGGTGGTAAACTTTATGTGAACGTCAAACTTAAAAAATACCTAAAAACAATTCCACAGTAAAAATAAATGCGAGTCTTTTTTTATCTGATGATTAACTCTGTTGTTTTCCATTCACCTAAGCTAATTTTTATGGATGATGATGATGATGACATGGAACTACCACTCACTGTAGCAAGATACCTGACCACAGACTGTGGACCATCCTCTCTGTTCGACCTGATCAAGTCCAACAACCTCCAATTTCACTCCATCCGCCACATGAAAGGCTAAAAACGATTTGGGTGAATCCGTGGTCAACATTGCTAACGCGCATCCATGGGACAAACGCCAACAAAGGGACGTCAGTGGAGAGAAGAGCCCACCCTCCCCTCACGAAACGCCACAAACAGGGAGTCGGCACCTCCACTCCCCCCATCCACCTCGCCACAATCGGGTGCCCTGGTGAAAACTACCGTACTCAGCATATAATGTTTCATATAATAATGGAATGAATGTTAAGAGAAAAATAAAGGAAAGATTTCACCCGATATGTTGCAAAGGGATCCCATAGATATGCTGCCGCTACTTCTTCAACCGGTGTTAAAAACAGCACTCTCGCCTTTCCTTCCTCACACAGCAGCGGAAACTCTCAAAAACCCTGAAACTCACACTAGCTGCTCCAACTGGAGGGATCTCAGCAGAGAAAAAATAGACTGCATCCACTTTCCATCAACAATCACTCGCGACACAATGGCTTTAGTTCGCCAGCACAGTCTGTAAAACGCAGCGTCAGCACCTCACCGGCAGAATAAACTCGCGAGTGACCGAAAACAAACGCCATGGCACCCTTCGATTGTATTACTGAAACACAACCTCAACACACAAACACGATGACGACAACGTTTAGCAAACGCCTTTCGTCCGGGAGGCGGAACGCCAGCACACAGCAAGCGAAGGAGAGAAGAAAAAATGCACAGACAGCTCGAGTTGAACTGCTAACGTTGACAGACAAACGCGAACTGTGACTAAGATGTGTTCCTTGGATTACTGAAAAATCCTGTTCCCCTAGTTTGAAGTAGTCAGGACTAGGAATCGGTGGTAGATCTTACATCCCGTAACGTACCACGAAAAGGGGATCTACCCACGTTACGATCTTACTCCACTTGTTGTTTATTTACAAAAAATAACTATGTGTTGATTTAAGCCACCGAATTTCCACTGCATGTGGCGTATCGGATTCGAACGAGAACTAGAATAGTGGCGATGAATCATGATATTGTAGAATTAAACTTTCATCGGAATATACGCACAAGCAGCCATTTATTTAACCTTAATCAACGTGGCCTGACACAAGCATAGGATTGCGAATAAAACATGTTTTGATGTTACAGGCAAAGGTAAGTTAATACGAATATGACATGCTGGATAGCATTAACTATCAATAGGTAGGTTATAAGATTAGATGGCTACTTCCTGGTGATCGTTATTTTATGATAATCATTTGTTGACGACGTCATACTTAATCGTAAAATCCATTCACACTAACGTAGTGCCAATTTCCCTGAAATTGAAAGCTCATAAGTATATTTATTCCACTAAAAAATAACCCAACATACTTGAATTCCCAAGGTCCATCCGGTGCCAGCGGGATTTTCCGAACTAATTCCACTACGCTTGCAGATGTATCCCGACTGGGATACGCAAAAAACATGCTCTCCAACGGAAACATTCTTGAATCCAATGTTTCCCTCATAGTGCGGAGGATCATTCTGTATGTTGCTCAACAGCTGCCAATGACTGCCTTCCGGAAACGTTGGAGTGATCTCCTTCCGCACGGATAAGCGTCCCGTTGTATCGACGGTCCAAATTCCAGCCTTTCCTACGGAAATTTGCTTAAAGGTTACCCCTCCGGGAGGTTCTATCGGTTGCCACTTTGAACCTAGTGGATTTTCGGTTGAGATGCCACAGCGCCAATAGGCGGAACCATTCTTTCCAATGGCCCAGACTTTATTCTCGAAGCAGCTTATGCTAACCAACGGTTGATCACATGCCACGTGCTCCCAGCCAGTTCCCTAAAAAAAAAGATCAAAATATAAAATCTGTTTGGGATTGTAATTTTTGGAACTTACCGCAGGTAGAGACAGGCTGACTCCTCGCCGATAGAGAACATCTCCATTCGCAGCTACAGCCCAAACCATAACACTGCAGTCGACTGCATCGCTGTTGGCTTGCAGCGTTACGTCAACGATCTTTGAATTACCGACCTCTTGCCAAGGTCCCGTTGTCGTCAACCGGCACTTACGATACCATCTACGGCGGCGGACGTAGTCCGTAAATTGCTTCTTTGCGTGGTAACTAGCTGGAAAGTCTACCGCGTACTGCCAACCATCTCGATCAACTCCACCCGGATTATGGAAGTCTACCAACCAATCGCTGATCCACTGCCAATGCATGGACAACAGCTTAGTATGATCCTTGTTTCGTTTGTGCTTGCCCGTAATATCACTCCACATGTGTCGATCAGTCGGCAGTCCGGTCGTGGAGAAACCGGACAAAGGATTCCACCTTTGATTTTCATATATGTGGTAGTTATGGGTATCAGTCATCGTATTAATACCTTGATTACTGGTCTCGAGCCCCTTGAGAAAAGCTCCCCCCCAACCTCCAGTGTAGACCCAGGCTGTGTTGTCGTAGCCAAGACCCCATACGACTCCTGCCTTACAGGACTGAACTCGACGTAGATGACCACCGATCTGACGCCAGAAAACGTCTTTCAGAGGAAATATCAGCTTTGGATTTTCGTAAATTATGGTAAATATCTTGACCCGACCACTACTGTACAAGCTGTAGATGGTGTCCGGAGCGAGTCCTCTCCGGTACTTGAACTTAGGATAATCTTGATCATTGACAGTGATTCGAAAACCGTCACGTTCACTCCTAAAACAAAGATTGATTATTTTTTTCGGTTGCGAAGCATGTAATTACAGGACTTACCTTATCTCAAGTTTGAACTCCGCTCCGGGAGCAAACGTCATTTGATTACATCGTTTCTCATCCTCGTTCCAGTGGGAAGTTTCCATCGAGTTAAATACCGTAATATTTTCGTTGAACCGTGGATTGATGTGCAGCGAAATGTTTCGCTGTGATTCCATCTTATGGCGAACCCTGACCGTCGGATAGCTCTGCAGGTCGAATCGTATATGATCGGCGTCATCGTATACGAATCCGGAAATCTCCAGCCGCGATCCGATGATCATGCTGCAAATTGCGGGTTAGGTCGGCTTAAGGAATCACGAGGTATTTTTTTTTTGTTACATTACCCATTATGCAAAGAAGTCAAATATGGAGTCTCAGCAGCCGAGACATCGATTTTCTGTTGGTAAACTTTGTCCTCTGGACGCCACTGCGACGCTTCCAGGTTGGTAGGATCAAATACGAAGACATCACCCATGTTGGAAGTTATCCACAACGATCGCGGAGAAGGTTTTCCGTGCACTTCGTTTATCTGACAGCAAACCGAAGTCAGGTGGGAAATCCAGTCTTCTAAATCGGTATCACCACTGAACTGAATCTTGATCAGTGACGACCCTGGTGGAAGCCGTGGAGCGTGAATGGCAAGCCTTGGATAACCAGGCTCGCTGGAGCACATAACGCAGGTAATCTCCGATAGGGAGAATTGAATCTAAAATAGATGTAATTTTGAAACACATTGCATTAGTTATATGTGGACCTTACCTTGGTGGTAACCCCATCCGAGTTCAAAACTGTCAGCGTACCCGAGTCCGGTCCCGAACCCTGGTTATTAACCCATTCCAGTTCGATCAGGCAATCCTCGAAAGCATGACCGGCTTTGGCAACGCGAGCTTCACCCGATTTCACCCAGGAAGACATTTCAATTGCCTTTTCGTACAACGCAAAATCGCTATCTTGCAGCGGTCCTGGTGGTCGTTGCTTCAAATCATCCAAAAGCTTGACACGCCACGGTTGCGTAAGTTCTTCTTGATTAACATTACCACAGCTATCGTTGAACCAATTTGGCAGCTGATTCGGATCTACAGTAACCGCACCGGCAGCACATCCAACCCATAAAACTTCGTAGTCTGCCCAGTTTTGTGAACCACCGTGATCTTCGTATTCACCAAAGACTCCAGAATCTCGTGAGCTCTCTCCTTCGAACACGCTCGAGTCCGATTCAGGATGAGCTTCGGTGCCGACAAGCGAGCCGACACTACGAACTGGGCTCCATGCCCGCGAATTCTTAAGTTGCTTACCGGAAATTTCGTACACTTCGTTCAGAGGTGCACTGGAGGCAACCACCGTTTCATTGGACAGGTTTCGGGTGATCTTCTTTTCTATTAGACTTCCCGGTTGTTGTACCTCCAGTTTGGTGGCAAGCGGATCAGGTGATATTTCAGGTTTGTGCCAAAGCTCCGGTCGCTGCTTTGGATTAGTGGTTGGTGCTGATCGAGATGTTTCTTCATTATTTTCAACAAGCGAAGCATTTTCCTGCTGTAGTCTTTCCTTGTAGAGGCTGTTCAAACTTCTATGCTTGGTGGAAGGTGACTCGCTTCCACTGCGTCTACTTGACAGCGAAAAGTTGCTAGAAGTTCGGCTCATTTGAAGTGGTAGCTGGATCAGTCGCCACTTCTTTCCCGTTAGATCTGAACTACAAACACCGGATCTAAAGTACAAGGCCCTATCTTCTGATCCCACGGCGAAAACTTGATCGTTGGGAGCCACTGAGATGTAAGAAATGTTGCCAACCATCTCAACCCAACCACTGCCGATAGCAGCATCTTCACTGATTCCAGACGCCTCACCGTGAACGCCTCGTCGGAACCAAACGTGATTATCGTTGGTTACACACCATACCGAGTTGGTCCCAACGGATACCTGGGATATTTTCAGATTGTTCCCGGGTGGTTTCACCTCCAGCCAAGTGGTCCCCGTCATGGCATCTCTGGTCACACCAGCACGTACAATGACTCGCCCATTGTACAAGCAGGCCCAAACCAACCCTGTTGGTCCAACGGCAATCTGTGAGACTTCGCAACCTGAAGGAGTGGTGACAGAAGTCCAGCGCAATCCTTCTGGAGAAGTAGTGCTAACTCCAGATCGGAACATAACTCGACCATGAGCTGTTACTGCCCAAACCAGTAGTAAACCGGGGGATGCTCCAGAAACGCTGCTTCCATTGATAGCCACGTCAATGAACGGTTCTTGAGTGGGATCTTTATGTAGCGGAGCTACAGCACACCACGAGTTAAGAGCACAGTATCTACGGAAACGAATCCATTTTCGCCGTCGAACACAAGACTTCCAGTTCTTTTGCGGATGGTAAGTTGCTGGGAAGTCCACGGCATATGTCCACCCGTCATGATCCAGAGGTTGTCCATCCAAGGATAGGTCCAACTGCCATTCACCTTCCCACTGCCAAGCCATGGAAGGTAATCGTATTTTATCGATGTTCCTATCGATGGTTCCATCGACGTTGGAAAAGTGATATCGATCCGTTGGTAGCAAGCGGCTGGAGAATCCCTCGATGGGAAGCCACCTCTCGTTTTCGTAGGCTTCCTCCTTAATGCGGATAGGTATATCCAGGGCGTGCACGTGTACGTACACCTGTCGGTCGCCCCCGATGGCCCACATGAAGTGCGGAACCACGGAAATGCGCTTGAATTCCAGCCCTAGATAAAGGAATTCACGCCACGAAGACCCGGCCGTAGACAGGGCGTACACACGACCTTCATTGCTGTTGGCGAACAGAAGCGTACTAGGCATTGTTGACTGCTTGCTTATCACTGATTGAATACTAATGAGAAACACTGCTCGGATATTGAATGCAAATGCCGTGCACTAAACGAAACTCAATTGATTCATTTTCATTCTCGAAGGGAAAACTTCACTGTCATATAATACAAAGAGACGGGAAAAATACAAACAAATCGATAATTCTGATTCACTACCAGCCAACACCTTGCCCAGCTATTATAACTTTTAAATAACTTTTCACATCAGTTTTCACGATCCACAGAATGCACTAGCAGACAGAATCACGTGAGCTAGCGATCTCTACCGATCAAACACAATTTCCCTACTGATCGAGCACTGAAACAGGTAGTTAGTAACACTACTTTTAACTCATTAGTACCATCCGTTGGAGTCAATATCAGAATGGTTTATTGTTTTTGCTTCGGGCTTCGTTCGTTCGAAATATTTTTTGACAATCGGAAATTTGACGTTTCGTTCTTGTCATGCGCTAACTGGAGAGTGAACTAAACAAGGAGAAAACAGAAACAAAACGATCAAAGCAAAACAATTTTTTAATTAAATTGAGGGGTTGTTTTTCCTGGTTTGTTTTGATTCTTTTCGTTTATCAACAAAATATTCAACAGGTTTGTGTGTTTTCACCATGGTGGGTGTAGCATGGTGTTACAGCTTTGTTACTATATGGACGAGGAGATCGCAGGGGAGAAAGTGCCCCTAATCAGTGCTGTTAATTTTCATATCATTCGATTGAAGATGAACCAATTGAACGAATTCTCACATGACCATAATTTGAAGAGCCCTTTCTCATTCGAAGCTCATCGTCACTGTCAATTGAGTCACTCATTATCATAAGTCGACCCGAAGTCGGATCAATGTAAGGCAAATTTAAGGTGGATGTCGACCCAATGTCGTGTTGTTGTAGGATAAATTTGGGTTTATGTCGCGTCAATGTAGGATCAACATCGGGTTGGGGTTTGGTAGGAGTCAGGTTGGTGTCGGGTTGACTTAGCTTTTTCGCCGGAAATGTCGACCAAAGCTCCGTTTATGTGTAGGTTACACTCAATTGAATGATATCAAGCGTTTCTCAAATGAGAATGATCCATGCCTTCGTCAAATGACTAAGCAACTGATATCGCCCATTCGAAGGAGGTCCCCTTTGATAGCGGATAGCTGCTTTTCTCATTTTCATCAAAAATGTTCAATGAATTTTGAGAATTTACAGCACTGCTCCTAATAAAACGTGTATGGCTATTTCGGTTAACGACGTGTTCGGGGTATAATCCAAACCATTTGTGGAATAGTTCTATCATTTGTGTTATCGTTCGTTTGTGTTTTTTTTTATTAGGGGTGGTTTTAGAGCAAATTGTAAACGAACTCGGTCACTGCTCCATACAAAAATAATTTTTGTAATTTTTGTAATAATTTGCTCTAAAACCGCACTTTCTCCCCTGTGATTGACACATTAGAACACCAATATGTACTCACCTTGGTTTTCACGTTCGATTCTGCTTGTATAAGTAACGGTGTTCAAAATACATCTCCATTCAGAAATGGAGATAACAAGTTCGTGTCCAAAGATTTGCGTATGCATTCTAGTAAGACTTATTCTAGTTAGATTTTAATGCCTAAAGTGGCGACGAAAGTTTAAAAATGGCGCTCGCTGATATAGGATTTGAATTACTCGACGATAGCACAGTGAGGTCAAATATTTACTGCCCAACGAAGGATGGTACGGATCTTCTTAGAGCTATTAGAAGCGGCAGTCAAACCAATGTGGAAAAAATATTGGAAATATATCAGACGGATTTGAATAAGATCAAAGAATATATAGTACGAAAGTACAATTGGGATTCAAATGACCGAATCTGGATCAGGAAAACGATTATGGTTGCGGTAAATAACAAACAATGTCAAGACGTAAAACTGTTGGAGAGAAATTCAATATTTAGTAAAAATCTAGAGCAAGCTGTATTTATTTTGCTTTTGAGTCCTGTAGACAAAGAAGATGTAGCTGTGATTCATCCTAACGACGACAATCGCTTATCAGTATATCGTTTTATCAGGACAGTGATTCCCAACGGGTTCCTGACTCTTAATAATGCAGGATCAGATATAAAATGTGAGCCGCTCATTGAGGCAGCTGCCTCCAGTGGAAATATAGCTGCAATCACTCGATTGATAGATCTAGGAGCAGCCATCAGTCTGCCAAAGCATAACCCGTTAATCGCAGCGTGTTCAACTTTACAGAAAGAAACGATTCAATGGCTGTTGACTGAACATTTTGATGATTTTGACTGCACTCTACGGAATTCCTACCAGTTCAACGCTTTCATGATGTTGATGCAGAAAAATGACACTGAAATGATGGATTTTGTACTGACAAAAATGATAACCTACAGACAGAAGTACTACAATGAAACTGAATCCGAAGCATTCAACAATATATTTCGCTGTGAGCACGAAATCTATACAAGATCTTCCATCCTATCGCTTCTTCGTCCTGGGCCGGTTCGTAACAAGATCGAGGAATACGTTGTGAAATATCAATTAGACTTAGCCTACCAATGGAAAGGTGTGACAATGTTGGCAGAGATGCTTTATAAAAAACTAGCTTTGAACTACTGTTGGGCAGCTATCCGAAAGAATCCTACACTTCTCGGTCTGGTACTCCGCCAGGAAACAACGATCGTACATGAGTGCATTCGGTTGAGAATCCTGGACATACTGAACGAAATGTACCAGCTTCAACCGGAAGTGCAACGATACTTTGAAAACAATCAGGCTTACGAAACCCTTCAGCAAAGTCTGTGGCATGGAGAGTGTGATTCTGCTGAATTCATTCTTAAAAATCACAATCAATTTTTCTTGGGCAATTTCGACAGGCTCAAGAAGGATGTGATATTTTGCAGTTATCATAGAAAGTCATTCTTCGATAGTAATCGTGATCTGTTGGTTAAGTATTTTCCTACGCTAAAATCTGATATTGATCAAAAAGTGTTTGAAAAACCCAAATTCTATCCAGGTCAAGGTTTGTAAAGACAAACATTTTAGAAATGAGTAGCTGCTGTAATTGCCTGATTTTTTTTTCTAGATCTCATAGTTGCGTTCAGCAACTTCAACCTGAAGTTTGGCGAAACAACTATCCAACTTGACGATCCTAAATCGTCACTGGCCAGCATAAGAGGATCAAATGGTGCCACGCTTCTGCACTACGCTGTGGAAAAATCCAGCCCACAGCTATTCACAAATCTTCTGGACGCTGGTTGCGACTTCGATTCCGTGGACAACGAAGGAAACCACCCCATCCATTACATTCGCACTGAGGACATGTTCAATTTCCTCATCGAGAATCACCCAGACGGTCGCTCCCTAGTACACCGTACCAACTACGCAGGCTACTCAGTCTTCCATAAAGTCTGCCAGCTTCGCTCGAGTCACGAACTGGTGATAGGCTTACTTGAGAAGGTCATCGCTAGCGGAGCAAACGTAAACCAACTCACTAACAATGGTGAATCAGCTTTGTTCATGATCGCAAACTGTAGCGTTCTCGACGTGCTAGTAAAACACAACATCAAGCTAGACATTGTCAACGGCCGTGGTGAAACTGCCCTCGAGCGTTATTTTGTGAATCGCAATCGATACCTGTCAAGTGCCTTACTCCGCCTAACACACCAACTGCCATCGTTCAAAGACCACGCTCACAAATACTTCGGACCGATGGTTTTTAGCAACCGTGTCCATTTCACCCAAATCTATAGACCATTCCTAGAAGCCAACCCGAACTCGTTGAAAATCATGTTCGACTCAATTTATGAACACTCACCGGAACGTGCATCGCACATGTTCAGCCAAGCTTGCTGTAATGGTCAGATTTTTATAGCCGGAAAGTTTCTAGATTTCAACTACGACTTGGACTACAATTATCGGGACCATAATGGTCAAACTCCGATTATTGGATTGCTAAGTTGTATGCTAGGGCAGAACGACCACCTGGTGATGAAACTTCTGGCCAAAGGCATTGACTTGCAGATTTGCAACAATGCCGGTCGGAACGCTCTGTTGACCTTCGTTGGTAGATTTACGTCCGCGGAAGAATGCGGACACAGTACGGATACGGTTCAACGTTTGCTGGATTATGGAGCGAATGTTAACGCCCAGGACAAAGATGGGAATACTGCCCTACACATGGCGTTTGGTAGAAATGAGTTGGGATTGGTCGATGTATTGGTGCGAAATGGAGCTGACATGAAGACGAAAAACAACGACGGTAGAATACCGATGCAAATGGGTTCCAGTAATTTGTTTTCTATTGTGAGCGGACTATGAAATATGTTTTGCCTGAATAAACAATTAGTATCTACCCGCATAAACGCAAACTATGAACCAAGGATTTATGGTATCTTATTTAATGATCGTTTAAAAAACTATAAACGCATCGTACCATAAATCGTTTTTATTATACCACCGTATATTGTTAGTGCCAAATCAACCATCTGGGGAAAAGGTGGTTAGGTATTGTTATAAAATTTTACTGGGGGGAGGGTACGGTGTCTGTTGCATGTTTTGTTTTGTTAAACCACGGTTCAATAGAATCTCTGGAACTGCTATTCAATCAAAAGGCTTTAAGGCTATTTCTTATTTTATTTTCCTGTTCAATACATTTCCACTTCGTCCAGTAATATGACCTATTATGGCGAGGCTTACTATTATCGAAGACTTCATGTCAAGAAGACTGGCAACTTTGCCAGAATCCAAGTGACAGATACAGTAGCGCTGCGCTTGAGTGAAGGTGGAAGCAACGCATAGATATGTTGTCTTCGCTATTATTCTAATGGTGAAGTATTAAATTTTATTATATTTATTTCATAACGCTTGGGGGAACCAATGATCATTTGTTCAAGCATTTCAAAGGATTTTATGGATCTCGTACTTAATAAAATTCTCATGTTAGATAATTCTCAGAGTTACATAATTCCATGAATTATGTAACTAGATTATTTTAGACCTTTTATATTTAACCATCAACTAAATCTTAGCATTGGTAACAAAATTAAATTCGAGGACTTCGAATTTATTATTTTCCAAATTTCTGACTTTGAAATATGGCAATGGGCACATAGAATAAATTTCATACATTTAGAAACAGTTCTTAAAATTCTGAAAGATAGAATAAAAATAGTTCTGAGATCCCAAACCCATATGGTTCAAGATTTTGTAACTAAAAATAGATATCTTTAATACAGATTGTAAGTATCCAGCATTTTACGAGCGCTCATGGCCGCCACAATCTGTTTGAGTTACTGGTATGGAATATATGATTTGAAGTTTGGCTTGTGCCATTTGACCTTTAAACGGTCAAATTTCATCGTTTATACGTCAAACGACCTAACCCAAACATCAAATCGAATGTACCCTACCAGAAACTCAGCTAGATTGTGGTAGCCATCAGCGCTCGTAAAATGCTGGATAAGTTCTGCGAATTAAAATGTGAATAAAAAATCGCAAAATTTGATCAATTATCATAATTCTTAGACTAAGATAAAATTGCAGATCCCTCCAAGGTTGCAATTTCATAAAATTTCTAGTACAGTCAACTTTCGCTAGGCTAAACCTGAAGCCCACTTAGTGAAAGACTTTTGTTAGTTGGGCTGAGCTGTCAAGCTGAAAATTGGTTGAGGGATGCATCGATTGTTTATTATCATCACAATCCATTAGCAACTATCCAAATGTTTCATACATTAGTTCTATGCGTTGCTTCCACCTTCACTCAAGCGCAGCGCTACCAACAATCAATACGAAACTAACGATTTTAAATTGGCTCATTACTTGACTAGCCTATTGGTCCCAAGCAAACGATCAACGTACCCCATTCTAGTCGAAATTCTAGTACTACACAATGTTTGTTTTGATTTGTTATGAAAGTTTGACAGATAAAATGAGGGGTTTGTGGATTTTCCTATGTTTCGAGGGGTGAATCGATTAGCTTGGGACCGAAGAAAGTACCAGAGCTGAGCCAAAAAGTTGAGCACGTTTCTTCGGGACCTTCTAGTCTTAGAGTTACCTCTATGGCGCTACTGTATTTGTCACTTGGATTCTAACAAAGTTGCAAGTCTTCTTGATATGAAGTCTTCGATAATAGTAAGCCCTCGAAAAAGAAATAACATTATCAAAAATGACGTTCGACTTTGATTTAGGTAGGCTACAACCCAACTAACGTGAACCCAACTAAAACGTAGCCCGCCTAAACATAGCCGATCGAGCAAAATTTGTCTGTACATAAATATAAAAAATACGAATTTTAATAAATATACCACATACACACAGATATAAAACTTGCAAGTTGTTCATCCAACAAGCTGCCTTTGGGGTAATGGATGGACGTCTACTTCACTCATACGATAATCTAGGACTCGTCCACCTACGAATATATGCTTGTTTAATGTTAATCCTAAAATTACATACTTTTAAAATAATTGCACTTTCGTCATTATTGCGATTTACCAAATAAATTGGGCAGCTCATGGGTCCCATACTAGGTCCCATACCCTATATCAAGAACATAAGCAACTCTTCGTTCATTTTCGAAGCCACTTGCACCGGATTTTACCGTCTTTATTCCTAACCGCGGGATTTGCTCCATTTTCCATCAACAATTCCGTCAACTTTCATTCATGCTCTCTGAATGCATAATGCAGAGCAGTGTTGCCATCATCATCCGTGCTACCGATCTGAACAATTGCACGGTACCCACCGACAAACCGACATGAAACTTAAACCAAATATATCATATTAAAAATATGAATGGATCATATCATAGCTTTTTCCAAATGTTGCAATGGCGACCCGCAAAATATTGCTTCACGCACCATCTAGCGTTGAAAAAGGTCAGCAACAATCATTCAAGTACAATCGAGGGGTACGAATATAGCACTTATTACAAAAGTAAGAGTCGAATTATATTCATTAATTACATTGAGTATATTACTTTAAAATTTGTCTGACATCACTTTCACTGTTGTCATCAATGTTGAAATACATTCATTTGAAATATTAAACAAATTTTCATTTGGTTTGCCCCTCGTGACGATAAACAAATACATTGGTAGCCTTTTTGGCCACAGAGGTGCTTTCATCGCTAAAAATTCGGTTCGCCAGCTAAGCGAAAGAGTGGATCATATTGTTAATATAATATATTTGCTTAAACTTAGCTCTTGATCGAGAATCCATAACGGCGGATTTAAATTTGCAGCGATCCCATCTGTCAAAACCATAGAAATTTAATATCTAGATAAAAATAATTTGCCCGGAATAGATTAGACACGAACCAACTCATACATTTTGTATGCGTGTTTGTGGCTAGGATACACATTTTTCACGAACACGGCGACAGATGTCAGTTTTGTGCTTTGATCAGAAATTTGATGGTACTATGTATGGTCATTCATGTCGGTTTGTCGGTGCTGTACCCATAGAGGAAACTCTAAGACCAGAAGGTCCCGAAGAAATGTGCTCAACTTTTTGGCTCAGCTCTGGTACTATCTTCGGTCCCAAGTTAATCAATGCACCCCTCGAAACATCGGAAAATCCACGAACCCCTCATTTTATCTATCAAACTTTCATAGCGAATCAAAACAAACATGATGTAGTACTAGCATTTCGACAAGAATGGGGTACGCTTATAGATGTACTTGGGACCAATAGGCTAGTCAAATAGTGAGCCAATTTAAAATCGTTAGTTTCCACCGGTTGCTGTACCGGTGTCGTGATCATACCATTTAGCTGATCGATATACCGATTAACAAGCGTCAACAGTGCGTTCCTTCCCCAGTGATTTAGAAGTTCCAAATTAACTCCTTCGGCGAGTAGCTGCCTAACAAGGTAGATGTTCGATTCTTCCATATAGTCAAGCAGTCAGACATGGTGTAAAGCCGGTGGAAACTAACGATTTAAAATTGACTCACTACTTGACTAGCCTATTGGTCCCAAGCAAATCGATTAACGTACCCCATTCTAGTTGAAATTCTACTACTACACTATGTTTGTTTTGATTCGCTATTAAAATTTGGTAGCGAAAATGAGGGGTACGTGGATTTCCCTATATTTCGAGAGGTGCGTCGGTTAGCTAGGGACCGAAGATAGTACCAGAGCTGAGCCAAAAAGTTGAGCACGTTATTTCGGGCTTACTCAACTTTTTCACAACCATTATTCAATTTGCCAGTCTCACCGAATAACAACAGTCAATAAGCGCTAATGTCACTTTAATACACATCCTAATCAACTTTCAACTTGTTACTGCAAAACAAAGCTAATAAAGTGAATATATTACTCATTTGATGGCTTCTACACAACCAACCACTCTTGCTGAATAACATAAACATCAAAAGTGCTTTTTCAGCAACTAAACATCCTGTACTCAGCGAATAAACTGTGTTAGAGCTACTTTGGAAGCATTTTCATAATCTTTCCTTTATTTAACGTCGGTCTCTGTTCCGCAATCTAGTGCCAATCACCGACGGACATCGATTGCCATCCATTGACGGCAATCGAATGTGCAGGAAGGCAGCTTCCACACCTGCGTAGGATATCGCACCCATTCACAACACACATGGGCCGGGACCAACGGCTTTACTTCCCTTCCGAAGGAAGACGTGACCAGAGATTTTTATGCCTCAGAAAAATCCCACCGACCTCGGCTGGGATTGAACCCAGACCCATTGGGGTGTTAGAAAGCAGTCACGCTTGCCACAACACCACCGGCGCCGGCTTTTCATAATCAACTAGGTTTATTTTTAGACGTGTGCAATTTTACAGCTTTTACTCTGCTCCTTTACAAAGCTGAAGTAACTAGTCGAGAAAAGTTATTCATGTGCACTATTATAAAGCCTCTACTCAGCGACTTTGTTGTAGAAGGGCATGTTGATTTGTTTACATCAGTTCAAAGTGTTGGTGTAGCCCAGTTGGTAGTGTCAAGGTTTGCCAATGCAATGCGGTCGTCTCGAGTTCGATTCCAGGTTCCGGTGCAGGGTAAATAATTTGGTGATGACTTGTGTAACGAACTTCGATTAGGGGGCGACCCCGGCGTAGTGGTTAACATCCTTACCTCTCACGCCAAAGTCACGAGTTCAAATCTCACCCCCGGACAAGTCACGAATGACCCAAGAGTGTTAAAGTGACTATAATTAAAAAAAAAAAAAAAAAAAATCGGTTGATTTGATTCACAGCAAAATAAACTCAATAAATTCCTCCATAACAAAAAAACGTAAACAGTATTTAACCCGGCTTCAAGAGAAAGCTGTGTAGCGATTATTGGATAACCGGGAAAAGGTTGAATAAGCGCCTTTCAAGTTGACATACAACTGAACAGAAGGATAACAGCTGTATAGAAGCGTTAATGGATATGCAATAAGAGGTTGTCCCAACCGTCCCAACAACCTTAATTAGCTGACTAAGTTCGCCAGATTTGCTTGTATAGAGGTTGAGTAAAGGTTTCCTTATATCATATAACGTTTGAATACAGCTTGAGGTTGTATAAATGAAATGAGTAAAGCGTTTACATTGCGAAAATTGTTAGTTGGGTTGTTCATACTGCAAACCTTGTTATATGTTATTCAGAATATGGCCATAGAACATGTGCTAAATTACTACCCAGATCACATGTTTCCAAGTGACATGGAACAACATTGCAAGGCTTGTAGTGGAAGCAAGACGAGACATTGAGCAATAAATTTGATAAGTTTGACAATGTTTTGTAATATAAGTTCTATTGTACACTATTATTGAATACAGCATCAATTTCATAATACTCACGCTCTAGAATGCAAATTATTTCGGGTTGAAATGAAGAATTATTGCTTCTCTCATTTGACTTCATTTGTTGTTGACTTGCCATCTTCGCGAGTAATGCTTGGCATGTGCGTTTTTGACATTTGCTTCCAAAAGCAAAACTAATCAAATTCAATGGATGAAAAAGTGGTGCCTATTCAAATGATAATCATATTGATTTAAAGATGTTATACAGTACATATTTTATAACGACAAATCACTTTGTCTCTAAACGCAAATCACTTGAAAATCAATGATAAATCACTTCGATTCGTAGTGCCGCATGACAGACTAAGTCAAGTGCAAGAGCATTTGGATTAGATATGACAACTTTTTACCGTGTAGGATGTAGATATATTTGTTTACAAACAAATGATGTTGAGCTGTCAAAGACTCCCCAAGCAACCAAAAGTTCGGATAAAAGCCCTTTTTTTGGCTTAATCGGCTAATCGAAAGATTATGAAGAGAATTCTATTCAGCTTACTTTTTAAGTAATTAACCGAACTTCCAAGTTCACATTCGATGTTTAAGCTTCTAACAGAATGCTGTTTCACTTTTAAAAAGAACTTGAAAGTTCACAAAAGGTTCGTTTAACCGTTGGAGGGAATGCTATTCAGCCAAAAAAAAACTTGAATGAAATCTACAAACCAAAATAGACAACAAATATATCTATTATTTTGCTGCTTACCACGTTCTCTTTTAATTTACTATGCGCTGCTGCGTCGTCGGAAGATGAATGTTTGAAATATGGTCAAATATTTTATTTAAATTACATGTTTTTGAATTACTTACTACAAGTCTCGAACTCGAGTCCTCCTCTTTGAAACCGAAATACATACCACTGCTCTATGTGAACGAAGTGGAATATCATATGATTTTACTCGATGTGTTGATTTTATTCATAAAAATGGTTTTCAGAGTAGCCAAATCTTCTTTCAAGTTCTGTAAGAACCTCGGTAAGAACTATCTTTGAACTTCAAAGTCTCTGATTAGTTCATGTAGAACCATATCTGAACTTGAAAGTTGCTAAAAAGTTCATACGGAACTTATTGTGAACTTGCACCGTTTGACATTTGACTGCTTGATTTATTTTCCGCAGAAGTTTTCAGTAACATCGAAAAGTACGAAACAATTTGACTTAATTGTAGTAAATTTAACTGTTTTGAGACTTGTTTTATTCAGAAAATCATCAAGGTAACGTAGTGGAACGCAAACCTCAATGAAATTTATTAAAATACAATATATTTTTTACTTACAGCAATGCCATTCGCCGTAGTAGAAACATTGAACGCTCGAGGCTGTAAGGAGCCTTCGGCCGTTCCAGATCAATGGCTGCGGAATTCAAAAACTGGACACATTTTGTTCTGGCCAAACGCAAACAGTTTTGCAGAACAAGATAAATTGTCCCGTGACGAAAAAAGCTGCTAGAAATTGACATTTCTAAAGTTGCTTACAAGTTCAAGCCAAGTGAACCTTGAACAGTCGAACTTCCTTCGAACTTATCTAGAACTTAATGTGTGCTTTAAAGTCTGTAAAAAGTTCAACATAGATTAATTGTGTACTTTCACGCTGCTTAAAAGTACGGTTAGTACTAAGATTGAACTTTGTGTTAGAGGTTCGAAACAAGTTCTTTATTCACTTTTTGTGAACTTCACAGTTCAAATGAACGGGAACAAGAAACTTCTGTTGAACTTTCAAGGTTCCAATAAATATTGACGGTACTTTAAAGAGCATTAAGTTCTGTTTGTATGTGTAGTGCCTTGTTAATCAGCAAGAAAGTTCCACGAAACTAAATTTGAACCAGATGTGAACTTTTGAGTTCGTTTCTCAAGTAAAATCCGAACTTTAGGTTGCTTGGGTCGCGCTTATTCCTGCTTAAGGCCTGTATAGAGATCGAAGCGAAGCGAAAATCTCATACAAAATACTACTTTTTTCACCTGCATGAAAAACACAATTGACAAATATTTCACTTCGCTTTGAACTGTAACTATAAGGCCTGTATAGAGATCGAAGCGAAGCGAAAACCTCATATAAAATACTTATTTTTTCACCTGCATGAAAAACGCAATTGGCAAATATTTCGCTTCGCTTTGAACTGTAAACAGATACGATCCAGCGAAATATTATTTTGTGGATCGTATCTTTTTCGCTTACGTTCATTTTTTTTCGCGCATGCAGCGCTAGCGAAAAGAGCAACAGGTAAGCGAAAAGTTGACGTTTCGAGAAAGAGCGTATCGGTCAGATTTTCACTTCACCGGAGGTGTAAACTGACCGATTTCGTTTCACACTGCGAAAAAAAGAAACTGGAAAATGTTCCACAAACATTTTTTCACAACCTTTTTCGCAAGTGAAATATCATGATTTTTCACATGCTTCAAATTTCGTTTCGCCTCGATCTGTATATTAGGCAAAAACGAAAACGACATTAGAATTGCGTTTATTCTCTTTGTTTCAATGCTTAATAAAAACAGTACAAATCAGTAAAAATAATTGCTAACATCCATGAAGCATTGATGCCTAAATTTAGCTTCAATGTAGACGTTAATTTTTCAATAGCAATCTTCTTAAGAAAATTACTTTGGATGTTCAGCAAACAAAAAGAACTCAGCCCTTCATCAGTTAACGATGTCCTCAATGGCCTTCATTTGCAATTAATCATAGCTAATTTGCTGAAGGATCTATTACCTCAACACAACAATTGGCTACCAACAAGCTCAGATATATTGGCAGACCACCGTATAAAATTAAATCATAAGTTCAGAGCTAAACTTTATGATTGAACGTGAAATGAAACTAATTTGCTTTAGCAGAAAAAATATGATAAATTAAAAAGTACAACAAATATTTGCTCAGCCTCCATGGCCGGGGAGCGCCCCTAGCCGGGGGTTCGGGGAAATTGTTCCCATTGCCTCCCTCAAATCCGACCCTGGATATACCCCATATGACCGTATAAGCTTTAATAAGTAATGCGGGTTGCTTTGGTTTTTAGACTCACGTGAAAAAATTCTATGGAGGAAAAAATATGTTCACACATAAAAAAAAAACAAAGGGATGTAAACTAACCGATTTTTCGATACGCCACCCTGGAAAGTACCCTCGCTAATGGAAACTTTAGCAACGAAATGAACTGCTGAAAACAGTGTGAACATTTTGTGGTGTGACAAAATTATTTTCCTGTGAGTCTAATTGGTGGCAAAATGTGCAATATTGAAAACAAAAAATAAAAATAGATTGTAACTATTAAAATTTCAAAAGCTAGTGTCAACAAAGTCCGTATTTGTGTAGTATAAGAACATCGAATATCGATGCTCTGGGGCATTTCACCCCTTTGCTGTGGGGCATAATATCCATGCAGTTGTAACTGTTTGACCTTTTGTCTCGCTTTTCAACATTCGACCTTTTGCCCCCCTTGTCATCATTCGACCTTTTGAACCTTCGACCTTTTGTCCTTCTTTCAACCCTTTTTTCATTCCACGTTGTTTCATTCGACATTTTGTTTTTCATCCTTTTTATCATAAAATCGCTCTTTTGGAAAAATAATGCAAAATTCAAAATGGACGAATTTTGGCTTTAAATGTGAATGATTGTCCATAACAATTATGTAATGTTTCATGCAAATCGGAGAAGATCGAGCTATTTGGTCTGCTGTATACTTATGTAGGAAAGGGCGGATAGCACCATGGGTGGATAAATTTTTATCAAAATAATACTATCTTTGCTATTTAAATTATCAAAAAGTAACTTCACAATCCTGTTCACACACTTTAATCATAAACCAACTCAGTGCATAAACTTGAACAATTGTTCGTTCATTCTGCCGGCCATGTGGAGCGGAATTTTACCGTCCTTGTTCTTTGCCGAAAGATCCGCTCCATTCTTCACCAACAATTCCACCAATTCCCATTCGTATTCCTTGAATGCATAGTGCAAAGCAGTGTTTCCATCTTCATCAGTGCTATCGATCCGTGCTCCATGGTCCAGTAGCAGTTGAACCGAACCCACATTATGGCCGTACCACCTTGCTGTCCTAAATCTATGTGCCAGCGTAAGCAGCGCATTTCGTCCCGCTTGATTACGAATTTCCAAATCAACTCCCTTCTTGAGCAACTGTCGTACTAAATGGGCGTTTGATTCTTCCATATAGCTGAACAAACCAACGATCGGCGTGTAGCCATACTCATCCTGATAGTTGTAGTTCAGGTCGTAGTCGAATTCTAGAAACCTGCCCGTTATAAAAATATGTGCACTGCTACAAGCCTTGCAGAACAATCGAGAGGCTTCCTCTCGGGACTTCTTGTAGACCGAGTCAAATATGAGCTTAGTCGTTTCAGGGTTTTTCTCCAGAAAGGGTTGATACCCACAACTGAAAAAGTCCCGGTTCAAGTACATAAATGGATCCAGGCACTTGTGAGCGTGCTCCTTGAAAAATGGTCGCTTGTGCAGGAGAGACAGTAGTTCCGTTGACATGCAGGTATTTTTATACCGCAGATGGCGGTCGAGAGCTGATTCGCCTGCATTGTTGACTACTTCCAAATTAACGTTGTACTTTCTCAGGACGTCTAGGACTAAGCAGCTACCAGTAAAAAAGACAACAGATTCACCATTATTCGTCAACTGATTGACGTTTGCGCCGAATTCGATAACTTTTTCCAAAAGGACAATCAAGTTCTTCTGATCAATTCCAAGCGAAAAAACCTTATGCAGTAAGGAGTATCCTTCGAAGTTGGTCCGATGCACAAGAGATCGTCCTTCTGGGTGCTTCTCAGTGATAAGATTGAGCATTTCAATGCTTCGAACATAATGAATCGCATGATTTCCCTCATTATCGATAACATCCATGTCACATCCGGCTTCAAGTAGATTGCCAAACAGTGTTGCATTGTCTTTATCGACGGCATAGTGAAGAAGAGTGATGTCATTTATGCCTTTAATGACGCTCAACGATTGCGACGGATCCTTTGCTTGGATGGAAAATTCATCAAATTGCAAGTTCAAATTTTGAAATGCCAGTTGAAGATCTGAAAATCGAAGGCAATTAGTTTACATAAGTAAATGTTCATCAAATATGCGTACCATGACCAGGATAGAGTTTCGGTTCTATCTTTTTACCCTCGGTAATGTCCGTTGCGAACACAGGAAAATGTGTTGCCAACAAATCGCCATGCGTTTCATAGAAATCAGAACTGTGCCATTTGCTCAGCACCACGTCTTCTCTCAGTTTGTCTAAATTGCTCAAGAAAAATCCTGCATGGTTTTCCAGAACAAAAATAGTTGACTCTGTGCGTTTATTGTAAAGTGCTTCACCTAGACAGCCATAGCCTCTGTCGGTTTCAAAATACTGCTTCACCTCCGGATTCCGTTCATACATTTCACTCAAAATATCAAGCATTCCCAGACGAATGCATTCATGCAACACTGTTATTTCACCGTAAATTTTTATACCCAACAGATTGGGATTCCTTCGAATCTCTTCCCGGCAATATTCCAAAGCCATTTTCCTGCACAAAAGGCAAACCAATATGCTAACATTTTCCCATTGGTAGGATAAATCCAGTTTGAAGTTCACGATGTATGCTTCTATTTTCTCCTGCATCGAACCCTTTCTCAGATACGTCAAACTCGAAAGATTGTTGAGATCTTTATTTTCAATACGGAAAATGTTGTTGAATGCCTCTGTCTCCGTTTCGTTGTAGTACTTTTGCCTGTAGCTTATCATTTTCATCATCACAAAATCCATCATTTCCGAATTGTTCTTTTGCATTAGAATCAAAAATGCATTCATTTGATGGGGGTTCCTCTGGGTACAATCGAAGTCATCGAAATGTTTCGTCAGTAACCAACGGATCGTGTCTTTTTTAAGAGATGAGCATGCTGGCAACAGAGGGTTATGATCTGAAAGGTTGAGATCTGCTCCTAGTTCGAACAAGCGGGTTATGATATAGTTTCTCCCGCAAGAAGCTGCCGTTTCGATGAACGTGTCGTGGGAACCGTTCGATTCTGAATAGTTCCACGAAAGAAAGCCATTTGGAACAAGTGTTCGCACTAATCGGAAAACTTCAAGACGATTGTTTTCATTTGGATGAAGAACGGCAACTTCTTCACCTGCAATAGGGCTCATTAGCACAACGAATATGGCCTCCTTCAAATCACTGGATTTTGGTGCCCCTTGCTCTAACAGTTTGCAATTCCTACATTGCTCTTCGTCAATCGCTATGAGGTTAACATTCCTCAGCCAAATTCTATCAAGTGCATCCCACTGGTGCTTCAGCACCAAATAATCTCTGATTTTATCGAAATCCGCTTGATACGCTGCCAGCAATGCATCCACCAGTGATCGACTATTTTTTTTAATTGCTCGATGAAGTTCCGTCCCATCCATTATTGGCAGATATATATTTCGTGCGACATCTGCTCCATCTTCACATTCGTCCATTTGCAATGGATGCAGTTCGTCTTCTGCGAACTCATCAAACAGTCCAAATCCAAAATTTAATTCCTCTGGCTCCATGATTTCGCTGGCTGGTCTTCCAGTGCTTGGTGAATAACTTTCTTCCTGCTCCAGCCTGAACGTTTAACTAAATCGAACCAGCGCTTCAAATCATGTTTATAAAGCTTCCATCATCGCTCTATTTCACAACCTTGCATTCCTTTATTACAGTACCTACGGAATATAGAAGCAAACAGGTAGGTCCACTATCACCACTATCAACAGTTTTCGTAAAATTGCGCTTGCACGAGATTGAGCAATGATGTTTCAGACTCCAAAATCAAGGAAAACATGTCAGAAGGGTATAACTCGAAACGTTAACAATGACTTTGAACGTTGATTTCTCTTGAATGAACTCACACCCACGGAATCTGACTACACTAGCTCATAGAACAAACATTTCTCTGTCACATGATTTAGTTAGATTGAGTGGGTGTGTAGTCATTCATAAGAAACCGACGATCCAAGTCATTGTTTACGTTTCGAGTTAGACCCTTCTGACATGCTTCCCCTGAAATTATTGTTGTCCGACCTACCCTGCGAAGAAGTGAGAAAATTGAATCTGTCAAATTTTCATGTATTGCTTAAAATGGAGCATACCCATTGGCGTGGCTAATGGGGGTGCCAAGGGAGCCAGGCCCCCTTAAGAATTAGTTAGGCCCCTTCCAGAATGTTTGGTGTTTTCTTTTTGACTCGCCGGTGTTTTGTCAAGCTTGTCAAGTTCGAAGTTACTAAATAACAGCGATTAATTAAACTGGACCACAAGCAACGTTTTTTTTTAAAGTCCTTAAGTTCACCAGTTTTCTTCTGTTATGGACTAGAAGAAACAGTTTTGAGAAATTATGCTATATCAATACTTAATAGATGGCATAATAAGCCGTCTTCAGGCTCTAAAAATTGGCCATGAGCCCAGGGTATTTTTTCATCTTCTGGGAGCTTCGTAAAACTTCAAAGACTTCTAAGAAGTTCAGGGAACATCGCAGAAATTGAAGAAATTTAGTAGAAATTATGGCCAATCGGCACAGAGAAGCAGATGAAAATCCACGCCAATGCGCCCCCTTTCGAAGCTTTTCCAGCAAATTCTATTTTGTTTACAAACAAGACTAATATGTGAAAGATATAAACGGAGTAAGCCACAAAAACATCGATGAACGTCGATTAAATTTTTTAGGTACAGTGAGTTACTCGCGAGTTACTCGCTGCAAAAAAGTAACTCAGAGCAAAGCTGTCTCACCCCTTGTTTGCCTTCCTCTCAAGAAAAGGATTTTTTTCTTTTCTTGGTGCTGGCGTTCTGCCTTCCGGAGGATGCACGCGAATGAGGTGTCAGGCAAAAATTCGGTGCAAATGAAAAACTTCGCATGTGATTCAAAATGTTGTGTTCGGTTGTAAAAACAACGCGGAAGATTTTTTCGATTACCGCGAGTGAACAAACCGGTGCTCTTTCGAATGCAGAATTTGGTGAGATCGATCTGATTATAAATCAATCATAAATGCATATTTCCATTAGAAATACTCAGAGGGAGAGATGGGCGGAGAAAGCAAAATACAATTCAGCAGCAGAGATTTGTACCTAAATAATCTTGCAACCTTTGCTAGAAGCTACATGGATAGAAATCTCCTTATACCTTTTGGCAGAAATATAAATATAAAATGTATAAGTCAACTAATAAGCAGACGCCTTGCTAAAAGTTAATGAAGATCATGTGTCAAATGAAATATATAAGTGGTCACACATACCTTTTGTGCATTCTTATAGGACCTATGTGGTTTGTCTTATGGAATGTATAAGGCTGATGTTTTGGCAAAAATGTATAAGTGAAACACATTAATAAAATAATTGATTTTCGTTTCGTGTAGCATTTCACACGACTGTTACTTTTGATTCGATTTACGTGCAAAATAATAATTGATTATATCGCAATATTTTACACATTTCTTTGTGCCATTAATTAACCAACTAAGATCAATCAATCAATAGAGTAAGAATATTGTTTTTTATTCAAAAAACTAGTTGAATTTGAGAAACACACGAAACATAACGGTGATTGAATTTCTGTTCGATTGCAATTTAATCTAGTAAGAATAAGAAATCCTCGGAAAAAAATCTAATGGGAATGTTCGATTGGCTCGGATTTTGACATTTCATTTGACTCAAAACATTCCTTCCGCTTATCTCTCCCTTTGAGTGTTTCTAATTTCCACTCAATATGCGCCCGATTTCGAAACATCACATTTCGAAATCTGCAAGTGTGTTTGCAGCACCATTACTCATACGATAACGGTAGTGTTTGCATGCGGGGCTTATTGTATGTGAAAATAACCTCTGAATGGACGTGAATTACCAGGAATTCTGAAATGGGTTTCTGAATCAGTAGTAGAGCTATCGCTTTCTAACTCCCGGACTAAACTTGATTTAAATTATTACATCAAGGATTTTTGTAAGCAAATTTCTTCCATAATACCACTGCCGGCCAGTGGGGGTTAGATTGAATAATCACACACACAAATACAAAAAATCTCGTTCGTGAAACTTCGTGGAAAATCAAAAATAAACGTAGAAGTACAGCAAACTTTGTAGATGTTTTGCGAATTTCGTAGCATTTTCAGGAGCTGCTTTAAACTTCATATAAGTGTAAGGAATGTTGAAAAAGTTCAGGGAATTTTGTAGAAGATCTAAAAATAGTTCTGCAAACTTTTAAGAACTTCAGGGATCCTTGCTTTAGTTTAGGGAACTTCGTTGCAGTTTGCCAGAGATCTTTCATCAAAACAGCTCAATGAACTTCTCGGAGATTTTGGGAACATCGTTAAATTTCAAGGAACTTTCCGGATGTTCAAAAATATTTGTAGATGATATGTGTCTTTCCAGAAGTGCAAAGATGGTCAGTAGACTGATGCAAAATTTGACTTTTTCGCTCCACAGTGCTTGAATGGTTTCAAATCGAGTCCTGATTAGCCTCCCAAAGTTACAAATCATTTGGTTAGAAACAGACTTCGCACAAGCCATTTGAAGTTTACATGTAAATTACTATGGGAAATCTCAACTTTTTGTTCATTGTCTTCTAGTGTTTTTCCATATTGAGCTGCGAAACAGCTCAATAGCCATACTTATAGAAAATTTTCTCAGTTACAACTTTGCTCAAGATTGTTTCTATGTAAAACAAGACAGGGAAAAGTTATTAATTATTTAAGAGATTGGTAAACTTATGACATGATCAAGCAGCTGCTCTGTAGGCAACACTGTATTTTGCAGTGTGACATAGTAGCCATGATTTTTGTGTCCTATTCAACGCCCCGGAAACACCATATTGCCTGCTGAGCAGTTGATTGAGCATGATAATAAGACATCAGCGCATTGGACCATTGATAACTTTCGATCCTTGCATTTAATCAAAAAGTGATCTTCAGCAAAGTTGTAGCTGGGAAAATTTCCTACAAGTACAAGTGAAAACTTTTGAAGCAAACCTATATGGTGAATTATAAGATAGACATGAACAAAAATCTTGGTTTTACCATAGTAATTCCCATATAAACTTCAAATGGTTTGTGCCATCTCAGTTTCTCACCAAATGGGTTCAAATTTTGAGAGGTTAGTCAGGATCCGATTTGGAATAGATTAAGTACTGTGGAGCGAAAATTTCAAATTTTGCATCACTCTAATGGTCAGAGATCTTCATGTGATTAAGAGAGATGAAATAAATATGAAATTTGGAATGAATTCAGGGAACTTGATCGTTAAAGTTTTGAAATTTTTATTAAACTTAAGGGAGTTTTATCGATGTTCAGGAAACGTTGCATAAGTTACAGGATATAAAATTATGACAATTGATCTTATTTCGTTAACTTTTATTTGTATTCTAAGAATTTATGCTTGCAATCTGTATTAGAGATATCTCTTTTATTAGCTGTAAAAACTTGAAAACATATGGGTTTGGGATCCCAAAATTTTTATTTTATCTTTCAGATTATTAAGAATTGTGCATGGACCTAAAGTCTAAAGTCCAAGTCCTAAATATATTAAAAAATCTGTATGTACTTTACCATGTTTCAAAGCCAGCATTTTATAAAATTATAAAATTCAAACTTCTGGAAGTAAATTTTGAGATTTAACCGATGATGAAATATTCAAAATCAAGAAAAAGCTAGTTACATAATTTATTGAATTACCTAACTCTGAGAATTTTCTGCCTAAAATTAAGATATTCGGACGCTTTGTGAAATCATTATAAAAAGCATGAACAAACGATCATTGCTTGTTCAAAATCAGTAAGCTTTTAAGGCTCCCCCAATCGAGGTCCAATTGTTGTTATGAAATAAATATAATCAAATTTGTGTAACCATGAAAATAATAGTAAGCGTCAATGCCATTTTATTGGTCACAGAAAAAAACTAGCCAAAAACAAGTTGCCTTGACGCAATTTGATTGAATTGCATCTTCACGAGTTTCTATTTAACCGTAGTTTAGCAAAATAAAAAAAATGCAATAGGCCCTTCCAGATAAATTTTCTAGCTACGCCAATGAGCATACCTGCATGAGTAACTCGTTGTAACACAAACTAACAACACTATAGGCCTATCAACTTAGCCTCCCGCGGCCTTCTTGAAAATCATCGTAATGATGCAGATTTCAAAGTTTATAAATGCCAGTCCGCATCGTGCTCTCTTGCCGTGCGGATCTATTTGCTTTTTGCTGAAGGAAGTGTTACTACTACCTAAAGCTACAACAAATTTTAACAGCACTTTTCAGTGCTCAACCTGTAAAAATTTTCTACCTTGTTCAACTCTTATTCCTCTTCGATCCTTGTTTGGACCCTACCCGAGGTAATCCTTCTTGGATATCGATTTGGAAAATTCCTCTTCGATCCTTCAGATTCTTATAGTAATCTGCTTGGAAGTCGATTTGGATAAAAATTTACTGCCGCCATGGCGCCTAAACGCAAAAGAAAGGGGCAAACTCTTGACCCCCCTTCTGATGAAATTAATTTGAGTAATCAATTTGATTTGCTCACGGATGATGAGAATGATCCATCATCCAAGAAAAATTCTAGTAAACTTTCCCGGCTTAATGCCAAGAAGGAAAAGATTCCCCCTATTGTGATAACCACTACCGATTTCCATGCTCTTCGCATGGAACTTTTGAATTTCGTGAAAGTTAAGTTTTCACTACAAATTGGACGTCGGGGTGAATGCCGTGTATTGGCTGAAACCTTGGATGGATTTAAATGTCTTCTCAAGTATCTTACTGAGAAGAAGCACAAATTTTTTACTTACGACACCAAAACTGAACGTGTGTTCAAGGTTGTCATGAAAGGACTGCCCAGTGGTGAATCCCTGGATCAGATCAAAGATGAACTGGCAAAATTACTTGGAGTTGTGCCACTCCAAGTAATCAAAATGAAAATGAAATCCCGTCCTGGCGATTCGCGCAACGGGATTTCTAATGATTTTTATTTAGTTCACTTCAAGTCTAGTGAACTAAACAACCTTAAGGCCTTAGAAAAAGCTAGCCTTATGCTCCATGTCCGAGTGAAGTGGGAACACTTCAGGAAGACTGGAGGAAATTTCCAAAACCTCACCCAGTGCCGTAAGTGCCAGGGATGGGGTCACGGAACTAAAAATTGCTACATGCCAGCTAAATGCATGAATTGTGGTGATTCCTCTCACGCAAAGGACGACTGTCCTGTGAAGGAAGATCCTAAGAAATTTAAATGTTCAAATTGTGGTGAAAACCACAAATCCAATTTTTGGGAATGTAAGACTCGCAAAGCGATCCTACAATCTCGTTCTAACCGTCAGGTAGGAAACGCTCCACGTTTCCGACCAGGTACAAATTCCTCTGCTGTTAACAACGGTCAGCGAGGAACAAATTCTACATTCGTACCCGTAGGTACAAATATCTCCCCTGCTTCAAATGTTTCATCTGTACCTACTCCCCTCGCTGCTAACAATGTTCAGCGAGTTAATGGAGCTACCTATGCTGCTATTGCAGCGGGTAGAAATCAAAATACTAACCAACGTTCTAATGGAAATTTTGACAATTTTGACTTAGGAAGCATTACTGCCCCCAAAATGGAATTTTTACAGAATTCATTAATTGACATGATTTCTGATATGCTTAAATCTAACTCCATGTTTGATGCTATTCAAACTGGAGTAAAATTTGCAAATAATATTGTCATGACTTTAAAATTCAGTAATGGATTTTAAAGCATTAAATATTGTAAATTGGAATGCTCGATCTCTTAAAGATAATGAAGACGAGCTATTTAACTTTTTAAGAGTTCATAACGTGCATATTGCCGTTATAACTGAAACGTTCCTTAAACCTGCCCATAAGGTTAAGAAGGACGCAAACTACTTGATTTATAGAAATGATCGTCTTGATGGACCCTGTGGTGGCGTTGCCATCATTATTCATAGACAAATCAAACATAAAATTCTTTCTTCATTTGAAACCAAAGTTTTTGAAACTTTGGGGGTTTCTGTTGAAACAAAATTTGGACAACTTACGTTTATAGCTGCCTATTTGCCATTCCAATGCGTAGGCCAGCAAAAGAATTTTCTCAAGGGTGACCTCCAGAAACTTACCCGTCATAGGTCTAAATTCTTCATTATTGGTGATTTTAATGCAAAACACCGCTCATGGAATAATGCTCAAAGCAATTCCAATGGTAATATTCTGTTTGATGATTGTTCTGCAGGTTATTACACTATTCAATATCCAAACAGCCCAACATGCTTTTCTTCTGCAAGAAATCCCTCCACTATTGATTTGGTCTTAACTGATTCATGTCAACTTTGTAGCCAATTGGTTACCCATGCTGACTTCGGTTCTGATCACCTTCCAGTAACTTTTGAAATATCCCAAGAAATAATTTGTAATCCCAACAGCTCTACTTTCAATTACCATAGAGCTGATTGGGAGCAGTATCGAACATTTATGGAATATAACTTCGATCCAAACATTCCTTTGCAAACCAAAGATGAAATTAATTATGCTCTTGAATCTCTGACTACTTCTATAGTTGAAGCAAGAGCTGCCTCAGTACCAAAATGCGAGGTTAAATTCGATTCAATTATAATAGACGACGATCTTCTGCTCTTGATCCGTCTTAAAAATGTCCGTAGGAGACAATATCAAAGAACACGCGATCCTGCCATGAAAGTTATCTGGCGGGATTTGCAAAAACAAATTAAAAAGCGATTCTCTGCCCTGAGGAACAAAACTTTTGAAAATAATATTTCTAAATTAGACCCGAGTTCCAAACCCTTTTGGAAACTCACAAAAATTTTGAAAAAACCTCAAAAGCCTATTCCAGCGCTTAAAGAAGGTGGTAAAATTTTGATCACAAATTTGGAAAAAGCTCAGAAACTTGCTAAGCAATTCGAGAGTTCCCATAATTTCAGTTTGGGTCTTACTAGTCCTATTGAGAATCAGGTTGCTCGGGATTTTCTGAATATTTTCTCTCGGGAAAATATTTTTGATGATTCCTGGGGGACTGATTTGGACGAAGTAAGGTCTATAACTAAAAATTTTCCAAATATGAAAGCTCCAGGTGATGATGGAATTTTCTATATCCTCATCAAAAAACTCCCAGAGAGTACCTTGTCTTTCTTGGTAAAATTATTTAACAGATGTTTCCATTTGGCATACTTTCCTGATAAATGGAAAAATGCAAAAGTTGTTCCAATTTTGAAGCCGGATAAAAATCCAGCTGAAGCTTCTAGCTACCGTCCAATAAGTTTGCTTTCTTCAATAAGTAAACTTTTTGAAAAAATAATTTTGAATAGAATGATGCTTCACATCAATACGAACTCAATTTTTGCAGATGAGCAGTTTGGATTTCGCCATGGGCATTCAACTACTCATCAACTCTTAAGAGTTAACAATTTAATTCGTTCAAACAAATCTGAAGGCCACTCAACTGGAGTTGCTCTTCTAGACATAGAAAAAGCATTCGACAGTGTTTGGCATGAAGGTTTGATTGCTAAATTGAAAAAGTTTAATTTTCCACTTTATATTATGAAATTAGTTCAAAATTATTTAACTGACAGAACTCTTCAAGTAAATTATCAAAATTCCAAATCTAATCGACTACCTGTTAGGGCAGGAGTTCCTCAGGGTAGCATTCTTGGGCCTATATTGTATAATATTTTCACTTCGGACCTCCCTGATTTGCCTCAGGGTTGCCACAAATCTTTGTTCGCTGATGACACAGGCATTTCCGCTAAAGGAAGAAGTCTTCGTGTTATTTGCAGCAGACTTCAGAAAAGTTTAGATATTTTCTCTTCTTATTTACAAAAATGGAAGATTTCTCCCAACGCTTCCAAAACTCAACTTATAATATTTCCACATAAGCCTAGAGCTTCGTTTTTGAAACCTAGTAGTAGTCACATAGTCACTATGAACGGAGTTCCAATTTCCTGGTCAAACCAAGTGAAATATCTTGGATTAATACTTGACCAAAAATTAACTTTTAAAGATCACATTGAGGGCATTCAAGCCAAATGTAACAAATATATTAAATGTTTGTATCCTCTTATAAACAGGAAATCCAAACTTTGCCTGACGAATAAACTTCTAATATTTAAACAAGTTTTTAGACCGGCCATGCTTTACGCTGTACCAATATGGTCTAGTTGCTGCACTACCAGGAAAAAAGCACTTCAAAGGATTCAGAACAAAATTCTGAAAATGATTTTGAAGTTGCCTCCCTGGTACAGTACAACCGAAGTACATAGAATTTCGAATGTTGAGACTTTAGCACAAATGTCCAACAAAATAATGAATAATTTCAGGCAAAAATCGTTGCAATCCTCAATTGCAACGATTAATTCCCTTTATACTTAGATAAGATTTAGTTTTAGTTTTTAGTTTTAAGATATCAATTGTTATACTGACATGCAGGTTAAAAAACCTGTTTAAAATACTGAATTGCCAAGACATGAACAATGTAAAAACACTTAGATATATATCATAACAATTAAGGCTGGTACGTTACTGCAGTAACTGGAGCACCTAGGTTAAAATGAAATGTAATTTATTTTGAATTTGGAACAAATAAAGAGTTAAAAAAAAAAAAAAAAAAAAAAAGTTTATAAATGCAATGTATGGGAGTGAAATCTTTAAATTTTTCTATACAATAGATCACAACTTTTGGAATTATAGTCTTTGCAAGGAACTAGGTCTGTTATCATGAACAATTGGTCATAAAGTACTGTAAAAAGCTTCCCAAAACACGTTGATTTGGGATGTTGAATTTTATTCTTTGAAATCCCTACTCGAATTCTTATAGAGTTCTCCAGATGCACAAAATGGTATTTTTAGGCATGTCACACTTCCATGTATTGCTTTAAATGGAGCACCATTCCAATGTGTGGGTGTTTCTCAATCTGTTTGGTAGTGTTGCAGTGTTCGCTCAAAATAAGTCATAACACAAGCTATCTAAAATTCACGTACAAACTTGAGTCACCATAATTCCTGTTATCTCAGTTAAAAAATGATAAACTTTTGGCATCGAACTTGGCTTACAGAAGTTGAAGCAGTTCACGTTCAAAGTGAGTCTCAAAATGCATCGCAAACGCTATTTTCCGGCAGATTTGAACGCATTTCCACTGCACTATGCAGCCCTGCGTGGAGATACCGCCCGGATTCGAGAGTTGCTATCAGCTGGACACAATCCCCATGAACCCATTCAGGACGGTGAGACACCGCTGCACGTTGCCATCGCGGGAGATCAGGTGGATGCAGCGCAACTTCTCGTAGAGGAGTTCCATAATGATTTCCAACTTGTCCAGGAGCATTTGACAATCAAGAATAGTGAATGTGAACCGGATGACGCATTTTGGTCCAGTCAAAGCATTCTGATAGCTTCTGGTGAAGATCAATGTCAAAGAGTGAAGCAATTGGAAGCCAGTTGTATTCCAATTGGAAATCTTAAAGATTCTATCCTAGTCTTATTGAAAGGTTCAATTGGAGGTGAAGTGGTAGCAGTACTAGATCCAAGAAGTATAGATTACCAGGAAGTTATCAAACTAATCACAAGCTTGCTTTCAAATGGCATCCTTTCCTGGAATAGCACTGGGCACGCAGGAAACTGCGAATCATTATTGCATCTGGCTGCCTATTATGGAAATGCTGCCCTTCTCAAGCGATTAGTTGAACTTGGAGCAGATCTTACCCTGGCCGGTCTAGGGAAGAGAACGCCGTTTCATGCGGCTTGTGAAACTTCACAGACGCAAGTGATTGAATTACTTTTGACAAAATATCTGGATCGATTTGATCCTACGGCTCTGGACGAGAACGCACAACATGGACTACACTACATATTGAATCGCAAGAACAGAGATAGCTTCGAGCTCGTTGTGCAGAAAATGGTAGAATTCAGAGTGCGGCATTTCTCGGATACACCATCCGCTGCGTTTAATTTCATATTTCGGCTGGAGAATGACGAGTGGCCTTTCACTGGCATCTGGAACCAGCTTGATGCTGCATTTTGGGATAGGACGATCGAAAAAGTGCTGGAGCGTTACCAGTATGATCTGACGTATCAATGGAAGGAAGTAGCTGCTCTAATGGACATGGTAACATACAAAAAGGTGAAAAGCTTCTACAGTAAAGAGATTTGTAAGAATCCAGAACTTTTGAATATAAGTTCTTCGAGCGGATTCACAGTGTTGCATGCTTTGGTATGTGCTAATGAACTGCAGCTGGTTGATGATCTCTACAAAAGACATGCACAACTGAAAAAGCTGTTTGAACGCAAAGTAGCTATTTCAACTTTAGGGTCAATCATGCAGCAGGGATACATCAAAATGTTGGAGTTTGTGTTGCTCAATCACGGGGAATTTTATTTAGAAAATTTACAGACTATAATTGAAGAAGTCATCCAGATATATGTCGCACCCAATTACGAGAAAGCATTCGAAGTGTTGATGCGCAACTTACCAGAACTGAAAGCTTCCATTTCAAAGAAAACATCAAAAATGTCCAAATTATCCTTCGTTACGAGTCAAGGTGGGTACCGATTCGTTAATTAAATAGGTTGGGGAAATGGATGTAATGTCGGCTTAAATGCCCCTAGCAGCAATCGACTAAATTTTCAATAGCGAACTTTTGTATCCATTAGTACCGTCACAATGACGCGTTCATCTAGGTAAAATTGATAAATAGCAGATTTTTAACGATGGGCCCAGTCTTAAATCCATAGGCCAACATTAGAGCCATTTCCCCTATTATAATTGAAAAATAAAAATTTGATTTCAGACTTCAACGAAACATACGATATACTTCTGAGGGACTTCAGCTCAATTCACCAACGTGTTACTAGATCTGGTGAAAGTCTCGTCTGCTACATCACTGCCAACGATCAACCATTTCTGAATCAGGCCATCTATGAGAACCGGTTGGATCTTGTCCAACAACTCCTGGATTTAAATATCAACATAGATCATCTGGACTGCTACGACCGCCATGCGATTCATCACGTTCAAAGCACAGACATGCTTCTCCTGATCATTGATCGACATCCAGACGGATCAGATCTAGTCAATCGGAAAGATGGGAACGGCTTCACCCTGCTTCATATTCTCTGCTCATCTGCCATTGATCACAAACAAGAACTGATCCTGGAATTGCTGAAACTAGGAGCCAAATTGGATGAGACGACTAATGATCATGCAACCGTCTTATTCTACACCTATGATGAACAATTGTTCAAGTTCTTAACTGATGGTATCGAATCGAAAGGATTCACCCCGGTTGATCCAAACCATCGAGACATTGATGGCAACACGGCTCTCCATCGGCATCTACGCCAGTTGAATAGTCACATCAGTTCAGTTATGCTTCAATGCAGCGGAAGTTTTATTAGTTTCAACAATAAAGGTGACTCCTACTTGAGTTATTTACTGCGTTTTGAACGAAGAATCTTTGATTCTGTGTTCAAGCCAGTTTTAGATGCGAATCCAGATAAAACTAGCGAAATGTTCGAAGTCGAATTCAAGCGGTCGAGAGATCGTACATCCCAGTTATTCGTAGAAGCTTGCGTTCAGATGAACGTGTACTGCATTGAGCGTTTTCTACAGATGGATTTGGACTTCAATGCTCAAGACGGCGACGGTACGACAGCTCTTTTGAAATTATTAAGTAGTGACGAGCTTCCAAGTCCTGATCTTGTGTTCAACTTGTTGGAGAAGAAGGTGGATGTCAATTTAACGAATTCGAACAGGCAGAATGCCCTTATGGTCTTGCTTAACAAGTTCTGTAAAGCGAAAGAAATTGGATATGATACCCGCATTGTGAAGAACCTGATTGATCATGGCCTGAAACTTGATCATGTTGATTGCGAAGGGGAGACAGCCTTGCACTATTGCTTCAGGAATGGAGAATTCGAGCTGATAAGTTTGCTGATTGAAAACGGAGCAGTTTGCTGTAAGCTAAACCAAAAAGGAAAGAAGCCTTATGAAGTAGCACCTTTATATATCTCACAAATTTTCATGATTTTACAATGATCAATAAATGTTTCAATTAAACTAAATGCCGAGCATTCTGTACGTCAAACCTCGATCGTATTCTTCGTTATATTCTTCATCGGAATCCATACCTCCCATGATCACATTATAATGTAATTCAGCTGCTCTTGGTTCCAGTTCTGGGAAATGCAGCAGCATGATATCAAAAGGCTCGCCAAAAATGCTGCCCGGTAGGATATCTTCCTCAAAAAGGTTATCCATTACGTTTTTCATGATCGATCCTATGAATTCACGGTGGTTTTCCAGTAAGAAAATCAGTACCTGATTGTGTCCTTCTATAAGAACACTTACCAAGCAAATCACAGCTCCATCGCATTCGAACAATGATTGACACTGTTCAGGAAATGATCGATACAATTCTTCGATGAACTTCAGCTCATTGGACCACATCAAACAGTGGAGCACGTTGCATCCGTCTTGATCGGCTAGTGTCAACAGTTCCGGCTGCTGTCGAATCTCCGCTCGATAGTAATGTTTAGCCGTATTCCGTATGATCACTTCCATCAACATAATACGATCACCGTATCGAAAACTTAAGTCGTAAGCGTACTGCTTCAGGTACGGCTCCACAATTGAATTTGTGAACCTTCCTGTTAGAATGCTCCAAATTGATAGACATGCCCAATGTGGTCCCCCTTCATATCGAAACACCTGATTGAAGGCTTCACTTTCACTTTCACCGAACTGCTTCACTCTGTAGGCCATCGTTTTCCGAAGAACGTAGTCAAACCCTTCCTTATTTGAATGCGGTATAACGTGTATAAATGCAGTATAACCTAATTCGTCTTTTGCCACTGGGTCACAAATATCGCCATATTCATCAAACAACAGCCGGACAACATCCATTTTTAACGCACTGCATGCCTCCATCAACGGAGTCATCTTGTTTTGGCCGGTCGTCGAGAGTTCGACTCCGTTCCTCACAAGTCTTTTGACTAGATCAACAGCTCCACGGAACGCTGCCAGTTGAAGGAAGGTGTCATAGGTGCCTTCAGGGCCACTGTAGCTCCAAGATAGAACTCCGTTCGGTTTCAATGATTCAGTGAAAGCTTTAACATGTGATTCATTCTTTTCCGTGACTAGGATAACTGCGATGCATTCTTGCTCGTGAGATGGTTTCAACAGAACTAGTTCAACCATATCACCTTCAATTCCATTCACCAGTTCCTTCGCCCTGTTACACTCCTCGTCGGTAAAAGCAACTGCAATCGGTTTCTTTAACCAAATATCAGCTTTCGATTTCAAAACTCCCTTTTGTTCTAGACAATTCGCCACCTTCCAATAATCCTTCTCGTAAACTTCCATCAGAGCATCCCACTGCTGATTGTAGATCCCAACATGAAGCGGTGTTTCGCCTTCCCGGACCGGTCGGTAGATGTTAGCCCCGGTACGAATCGCATCCTGAAGCAGCTCCAAGGTACCTTCGGCGGCGGAAAAGTGAAGCGGGTGGTTTGAATAATTTTCCGGTTTGTATTGCTTACGCAGTACCGGAAAATAAGTCGTTTCCATTCTGAACGGTTGTTTGTCTTCGATGGACTGAGCATTGTGATTGATTTGAACTGGTGATACATTGGATAGGTAAATAATTTTCCTGACGATACACGAATTTGTTGTTTTCACTGGCGTTTTGTTAGTGGTAGTCATGAGAGCACTGATTACTACTACATATGCACTAATATTATTTCTACTTTCCAAACTTTCGCCCATAGGGCCAGTCTACTATATTACATAGACTGGCCCTATGGGCGGAAGTTTGGAAAGTGGGAGATTTATCTAGGAATTTATCGTAGAAATCATAAGCTTAAAAAAAACTTGAGATGTATGGAATTTTTGTTTGTTATTTATTACGTACAATGGTCCTATCTTCAGCAAAGCGACCCTTCTTAATGTGGATAGCATAGTTTGGAATCAACTCACTTGGTTGAACTAGAGTATATAACATGTTCTTATAGTGACAAATACAGGGACTATACGGTGCGTTTCACTGCCTATGATCGCATATCAGTCCCATATGGATTTTCGTCAATTTTAAAATAACAATGCTATCCACTATCAATTGGCATATACTTTCACATTATGTGATAAAACTATGGACTTTGATAATGAAAAATGTGAAAACAACATCAAGTCAGTTTGTCCCATCAATAAAAGTAATCGCATATCCCAAGTAACAATTCAGTAATCATTTAGCATCCACTATGATTTATGATGGTTTTATAACGGCAATGAATAATCCATTTAGTTTAAATATAGCATTTCAAAGTGTAAAACATTCCTGCTTAACAATTCAGCTTTTTGCTGTTTTAAAAACCTTTTATAGTCTGCCAAGAAAGTCCGATATTGTCTTGTTTTGAAAATAAATTTAAACAGTCATCAATCCCTCCTTAAAACTGTTCTTTAATTCAAGCGTAAACGTCATTAGCAATTGTTTATTAATGTCTTTATAAAATACTTTATAAACGTGTTCTATCATTATAAAAGCAACCATAAAACCATTAGGTTTTGCATTAGAGCAAAAAGCATTTATTGTTGCTTTTTAGGCTTTTTAAAGTGCATAATTAACTCCACAATTACTCTGTTTACAAATTGAGCTTAAAATATGGTTCCTCATAGTTAATAAATGCCAAATTTATGACAAGGAAATTTATGTAGGATGAAAAATTTAAGTCGATTTCAGCAAAATTTACTTCTTTAGAAGAACCAGGACACCATCAACGACTGACCATCTGGCGGAGAAGAGAAAACTGAGCGGGGCCCTCGAATTCATAAAACCAGGGGTTTGACATATAGCTGAATACACGTACTCAACATCAAAACAACAAAACATATCATGGTACCGCTGACAACGTTGCAGATGTTCGGTACGCAGCAAACTTAAGCGATATGACAGCCATATCCATCCCCTGCATAAAACATTGTCGACAGTTTAAAAAACATACCAGCCTTCTCCAGATCTTGCGAAAAGATGACAACCGACAGCAAACCACTGAAACTGTTAGTTAGCGGAGAGTAGCTGGTTTCCGATCCATAGCAGCTATTTTATTCGGCAAAAGAATCAACTCTTCGAAAATTCCATTCAAGCGTACATCCCTGCATCGTCCGTCAATGCTGCCATAAATCTGAACGGGTTAGGATCAAGCAAAATTTAATATGGCACTTAAAATTAGGCCACTTAATGAGAACTATTGTGTAAAATTTGGATATTCAACAAGATTTTTATACCATCAGTTTATATTTTAATTATTTTGATAAGATCTGATTCAAAAATCCTTTTCTATTTTGATCAGAACCCAACAAACAATTCAGAGTCACAAATAAGCATATATATTGAATAAATGCTTTATAACAGTGTACAATGCTGAATAAAACGGGTTGTCAATTTATGTGATGAAAAAACCTCATTGAGATCGATAGATGCGCCTTTATTCCGCTGTTTGCTCTGATTTGATTAAAATACTTATTAAAAGCTATGCAAACGATGACAGTCTTCCTGATTCAACACCAGAAGTTTGATCTAATAACATACTGAATAAGTGTAATTTGTACATACATTGATTAAAGCGTCAACTGTCAACTGTCGACTGTTTTCAATTGATTTAATAACATGCTTTATTATAGTCCAATAATTGTTTTCCAGCTCCATTATTAGATTCCATTGCATTGCTTAACTATATTGCTGAATAAAGGTGAATACAGTCAGCATAATAGCTCTTATACCACTATTCGTCCATGTTTTAATTGCATGCTTTGTAAATGCTCTTCAAACGGCGTATTCATTCATTATTCCACAACACTGTTTCAGGCTAACAACAAAACGAAAATGGTAGCTTAGTGGTTACCTTTTCCGCTTTCCAAGTAGAAGGTCGAGAGTACAATCCCAACATCAACCCTTTTTTTTTTTATTTATTTTCTACGCCTAATTAATTTAAATCGTAATCATAGATCGTAATCACTCACGACAACCAATTCATCGATCTATCTAAAAGAATAGCCCAGCATCCTTTCCATCGAAATAAGAGAGATGGAGAGGTAACGTTGGTCTCATGTTAAACAACTATCAATGAATTAATCATTCTCACATCTCCTTGAATTAGCTAGAATCTCGGCTGGGAGTTCTGATAGGTATTCAGATTCAAGCTTTTATTGCTTATTTAGCTGCCATATGTTGTATTCTATAGGATAGCTCAGAAGGCAAGCAAGCGGCTGGTGATCGGAAGGTCATGGTTCGAATCCCATATAACGACATGTGTGTGTATGTATGTATGTAATAGATTTTCTAGATCTTGTGTGGTGGGTGCGTGCTTCGACAGAAATAAATGAAACAACAATCACTAACGAGAACACAACCCTGCTCTTCTGTGCCGTTCTTATTTTCGGATTAATTATCCCGTAGTTTAATAATCGTTTAATAAATGTATAATAGTGTCTATTTAAACATTATTTCACATGAGAATCAAACGTTTATATACATCTTTATACCATCGCTGTTTAAGGAAGTAATATGATGTCTAATAAACGCTGAATAATCAAAAATTTGATCGAATAAGCTCTGTTTACAACTCTTGTAAGGCGAATAAAAGCTTCTCGACATACCTTATTCAACACTAAATAGTTTGATGGTGTGGTTGAATAAATTCTCCAGATTTGTGTGAACAAAGCCTGAACAGAAGTTATTATTAAAAATAGTACGAGTGTTATTAAGCATGCAGTTGAATAACATCGTCAAGAAGTCGTTTATTCAATAGGCAGTTGTTTGTTGGGAGGCGTCCCGTAACCTCACTTTTTACCTGTGCACAACTTTCAAAAACAGATTTAATGCCATATTCATACTCGAATCGGTTGAAAAATACACTTAATCTTCTAGTTAACTCGATATCTATCCATTGTAAGCAATATTTTGATAATTGTTTATGTTTGAGAGTTGGTGCACAGGTAGATTGAGGTTAAGGCGACGCCACTGATCTTGATTGATGCTTTCCTAGTGGATTCAGCATGCGGCTAGGGGAAATGGCTCGGAAAGGGTTTTTATTGTTGCTAAATAGCTTTTATTGTAGCTTTCAAATGGTTCTCAATGCGTTCGTCATACAACCTGTTGCAGTAAATCAATCTTGAAGAGCTTCGAGAATACACCCTTCAGAACCTTCTCCAGGATGGGCCAACTAGACATATTCTAGTCTTA